ATACAAGTGCACCCAAAGAGGCTTTCATACAAATTTATCAGCATGCTCAATCACAGGGTGGAAGAAAAGGGATTTGGAAATATATATGACAGAGGAACGAACAAGGGTCATGTGATCATGTATTATACCCCCCTCAACTTGCAATGACCTCTGGTGCTGCTCCAGGATTAACATTTATAATACAATAACATTTATATTTATAAAATTTACTTAATATAATATAATATAAAATTATATGTATCATTATTGTACATTTATTTATATTTTAAAAAAACTCCCTAAACAAATATGTATATACAATATATAATATAAAAATTTAATGTATTTATTTGTACTTATTTATTAAATTAATTAATTACAAAATAAAAACTAGTGTTTATGTTTATACACTTTATATGTATATATTATGTATTTATTGATTTATAAATGTAATAAATTATTTATATTACTAACTATATAACTAAAACTAATTTATATAATGATTAAAAAACATTTTAAAAAATATAAAAATATATATCTAGTGTGTATATGTAATATTTATCCAGTTTATGTGTAGATATTTATATTATATAAAATATTTATATATATATAATAATTATATATCATGTTATATATCATATTTTTATATATTTGTTTATATATTTCTTGTATGTTTAGGGGAATTTTATAAATATAAAATGTAATAATTAACATAAAATAAATATTTGAAAAAATATATTAAAAAAAAAATTATGACACTGTTAAGTGTGATATTATGAATTAAAGGTCATCCTTTAATCAACAAAAGTAAAAACAGAAGCCCAAAATTAAACAGGTAGTGATGAAAACTACAAAGACGTTTCTTACCAAGGTAGAGGGAAGCGTTCTCCTTTTTCACGTTATCATCCAGGTACGTTGGTCCCAGCGTGTAGATAGGAGTGGATCCCATGCCCACCAGGACCTGGGCGCAGATGAACAGGGCAACATATATGGAGTGATCGTTGCCCTCTTGGTCCCTTGGACAGGATGACACATCCAGAGCGTCCCTTCTGCTCCCATTCCCATTCGAGCACAGGCCCTTGTTCCCCGTAGATGAATTGACCTCTTGGATTTGATAGGGTGGAGAGATGAAATGCGGAAGGGAGAACAGAGCTGCTCCCACGGCGATGAACACCCCTCCTACCGCCAACCAGCGTGGCCTCTGGCCTCGACCCCCGAAATAACTGATGAAGACCACCACCAGAAGACTTCCAATGTCAAAGCAACTAACCAGCAGTCCCGATTCTGAACTTCTAAGGCTGTATCTCTTCTCTATAGTGGTGATGACACTACTAAGGTAGCCCGAGACCATCAAAGACTGGATGAACGTCAGGTAACACATACAGAACAGAAAACACCTAGAGTCTGACAGAATCACCCTCACGTACTTCCTCACAGGAAAGTGGATGAATCTTGCCAATGAAAAGCCTATCTTTTTGCCACCTGCTCGGTTGGATTCAGTTCTCATAGAGCTGCTAAGACCCACCATACTGGACATGGAAGGGGAGAAATCTGTCCTGGTGGGTGAATCCAGTTCACTCAAGTCTCCTTTCTGTTGCAGCTCATTGAACGGCAAGAGCTGGTCGGTATTTACTAAAGTCTGCGTCGCACTGACCAGCCTCGGTTCCAACGACTCATTAACGGTAGGACAGTCTCCGTTAAGAATGGGCAGGCTTTTGGATTTATAGTAACCTCCTGGATCTCCATATTGTCCCTGGAATTCACAGACTTCCAGAGATTCTGATATATCACTCCTGGTCTCATCATTATATGATGAAGTCATTTTGGCTTCGTGGAGTCAATGCAAGTAGAACTAAGATGATTAAGAACTAATTAAATTAATTAAGAACTAATTAAATTTAAAGTTTACAGGAGTTATTCTACAGATTAGACACACAATAAACAGATTAAAGAGGACTAGATTTCCAACCATGATCCCTCTGTATAGCTGTCCAACAGCTATTTTTCTTATACCTCATCAATACCTCATCAAGTCATAATGTGGTCATATCATATGCATTTGATATATAGAATAGTTCACCTGTTGTAGCTGCCTACAGTTTCGCCTCATTTATACGTATAGCAGCGAAAAGTTCAATTCATGTCATTTGAATACACATAGAATGAAATGATCTCTGGTCATGGTGCTGAAATGATTCTTTGTAGTTCAGTGATTCAGAATCCTAAAGACAATGGAAATAAAGGCAAACTAGTATTAATGCGTGTTTACTAACTGTTCAAGAAGCAATACAAACAGCGTACAGATCCTGTCATTTGTTTTGTTTAGTCGAGCTGCTGTCTGGTAGATTAGCGGTCGAGAAAGACAAAGAATAACAGTAAACGTGCGACGGACCACTGCGAGGAAAATTAAAAACCGTGTCAACCTGCTCGAATTATTTGTTTATCTAATACAACTAATTCCCCACCTAACGTTTACGAAGTCACGACTTTATACATGAGTGAACATATAGTACAATATACTGTCAGTCCAAATACTGATCCTTTCTTTGAATTCATTCACAGCACATCGTTTACAGCTCGTAAATTAAAATAACGAGACGTAGTAATAATAATGAACTGAATGAAGAGTAGTGTACTTACAAGGGCAGATAGAGACAGAGGTAGTGAGTTGTTGTCCTCGGCACGGACAGTGAGTGAATGAGATTGCGGATTTGATGAAGGGGGTGACGGAGCCCTCCAAGTGCATGCTGGGAAATGTAGGCCTATTTTCCCTTTGTTAAGTATGTTTTACCTTTGTTTTTAAAACATACTTATCCCTATTTCTTGACCTCAAAAACCATAATTCATGATGTTCAGATAGATGAAAAAAGTACACTTTGTGACAACATGCCCCAATAGCTGTACAATGTGTTTTACCTTTGTTTTTACATACTTATCCCTATTTCTTGACCTCAAAAACCATAATTCATGATGTTCAGATAGATGAAAAAAGTACACTTTGTGACAACATGCCCCAATAGCTGTACAATGGAAGTTTCCATTAAATAGTGTATCTTAGTCATCAAAATGCGTCAAATAATAAAAATAACTAACAAAACAACAAAAAGTAAACCTAAATGCATTTAATAAATGGTATAATTTTAAATTAACTTTACATTTTTAAAACGTGAAGAACTTGTGTCCACTTGTTGCAGCTAGCTAAAATATCATGATAAAAAAAGTGAATAACTAAATAAATAAAATAAGTTTGAGGATGTATTTAAATTTGGAAACTGTGATTTCTTCAGAATTCTTTAACACATAGAAACATCAAAAGAACAGAATTAGAAATCTTACTGTCACTTTTGTTTAATTAATGTGTTTATTATTTCAACATTTTTGACCATGTATTATGTGTATGTAGCCGATAAATGTAGACTTTTTAAATTTCCATGAAAAGATAAAGGTGTTAAATGTTTGAAACTTCCAAATATACAGCCTAAAAGTAATAACCAAAAAGCTTTTTCATAATGACAACCAGTGTTGGGGGTAACGCGTTACAAGTAACGTGCGTTACGCTGTGCTTCATCGTTTTTTTATTGCTGAAGAGTGTTTCTTCTGCGTTCTACTGTACAGACGTGAATTTACTTTTCCTTCAGCCTGAGGTTTATTCATTACACTTTTTGGTGTGAAAGGGCTTTTATATTTGCTATAAATAGAACTTCTTATATTAAAAACAATCAAGTCCTGCTTATATTTAAAAAGTAACGCGAAAGTAACGCAAAAGTAATATAACGCATTACTTTCCATAAAAAGTAACTAAGTAACGTAATTAGTTACTTTTTTTAGGGAGTAACGCAATATTGTAATGCATTACTTTTAAAAGTAACGTTCCCCAACACTGATGACAACTATGGGCTAGCACATAAAAAGACTCAAGACAAAGGTGTAATAATAAAGACAAACCCGATCTTTATGGTCTTCCTCAGGGGTCACTCTCACCCAGGTGTCCAACTGACCTTTGACCCATGTGTCACTCTTTTTTTAGTGTCAGTCAGCACCCTTCTCCATGAAAAAGTCTTAGAATGTGTATGTGGCAGTGTTTGTCCAGCTTATGAAGTTTCCAATGAAAGTCTGAGAGAAGCATGTTCATTATCTTTAAATCAAATAGTTACAGGTACAAAAATAGCATCTCACATCACTGTTGCACAGTTCTTCCATAGATGCTGAAAGTTTTTGCTTTGAGTCATGTCTCAGTCTTGTCTCCTTCAGTGAGGACACCCCTAATTACTTTCCCACATCCCTCTTTAGCTGTACTCAAACATACACCGGGGAACTGAGTACAGTAACACCACCCGGTGGTCATATGCGTCTTTTACAACTAATTTTTTAGATCACTGCAAATATGTTGCAACCACAGCTCAGTCAATCAACATTTCATTATATTTCTTCATTATAGTCTTTTAATCTATTTTATATAATCACAGAACATTTGAATGTGGATCAAATAATTTTTTACTTTGTGATTTCTTTTAATCATCTGTAGGCTATTTAAATAATGTTATTATTTGTATAACATTAAGATGTTATTAAAATATATATTTTTTTCTGTGAAGTCAATACATTTCATTGCATTATGTATTAAAACTAAGTCATCCTACACCTTCAGCAAAATGGTACTTTGGTACCTGACCACAGTTCCAATCTTTCTTAAATAAAAGTAAATAAAAACTGGTTTCTGCTGCCTTCCTGGAGTGCATACATTTATAGAGCAAACATTAAGAAAAATGAATGGCATTGGTAGAGTCATGCCAAGACAGCCTGCTCAGGACTTCTTGGCAGAACGTTATTAATGGCTTGACTGTTATTCAAAGCACTCCGCCCAGGACATGGCCTAAAATAAAGAGCATGTGTAGATATAGAAAACAATTTTTATGGCTAGAAAGGATAAAACTAATCACAAAATGTCCACAAGTATGATACACATGAAAGAACAATGAAATAAAGTGCATTTTCATCATATGTTCATACCTTTTATTCAATTAGCTTATTTTCATATCCTGGAAGGCAGAATCGCATCTTCTACACCCAAATAACAATAGATAAGAACTTTAACTGTAAAACTCATTACTTTGCAGTACATTATAAAAAGCTCTACAACTTTCATTTGCAGTGTAACATCAGTGTCGCATTTTTTTTAATGTAATTTCATTAAATTGTCCAATCCAATCCATCAATGAAAGGTTAGAGGCACAAGCTAGGTGAAACAAATGTTTGGCAGATTTTTATTTCAAAACAGCTTCTTGGCTTTCCAGAAGCCAGAATTGTTTCAACACCACTGGTTAAAAAGTAATGTAATATTTGCAAATTTGGCAGGTAATTTCATATTCAAACAATTTTTACTTCAAAAATGAATTTAGACATCACAATCCTTAAAGACAGGACGAAAATGGTCAGAAAGCTCGGAATAAATGCCCATCTCACATTCTTCACAAATGAAACAAGCTACTTTAAAGTAATTACTTTTTGTAGGTTAGTGAAAATGTTAGAGTCATCCATGATTAAAGCACAGTGAATGCCCTTCTTATATTATATGGACTGAATGCAGCAGAACTATACAACATTTGTGAGAGAACCATTTCACCAACAAGTCAAACCTTTGAACCCACAATCCAAGAGTATAAAACATGGTCAAGCAGTGTTTTAAAGTGTAAACAGTGAACCGAACCTAACAAGCTGAAGTAAACATAGAAGAAAACACCAACGATACTCATTAACGAAAGTGAATCCAACAAATAATGACTTGTGTTGGGTGTCAACATGGAGTCGTTTACGTCTAAAGAGACTGCAGAAGTCGACAAACATGAAAAAAGTGCATCAAATATCTGAGGAAACAATCTGCATGTGGTTAATCAACGCTATCTCACGACCAATTCGTACGTATTTTACGAGGTGGCTAATTCGTACGAATTCATATGACCTCACTCGTAGGATTTTATACGGTTTGTCTAGACCCCAGTGACGGGTAGGTTTAGGGGTGGGGTTAGGTGTAGGTCATTCGTACAAATTCATACGAATTGTGCTACTCGTAAAATATGTGCGATTTAGCAAAAATCGTATGAATTTGTATGAGTGAGGTCGTACGAATTAGCCACCTCGTAAAATATGCAATATGACGGTTTCACCATTTTAACCTGTTTCTTAATTAAAAATACATTAAAACCTTACTTTGATGGTGTTTTCCCACTTGAGATTTAAAACCAAACCCAACATTTAAGATGCATCCGATACTTTACCTCTACATTTTTATATTTATATATATATATTTTTTTTTTTTACAAAATACATAACACTGATTTCTAATAAATGGAAGTACCTGTAAAAAATAAAATAATTCATTGGATTATACAGGAGAGCAGTCCATGCTCCATGGGGTTAGTGTCTCTGAGTTGGCTGGCTTCACAGTGCATGGCAGCAGTCCTTTCTCAAAGGGGATGGTCCCGAGGCGCTACCCTCCGAGTCCTGAACATCCCTGGGCTTGTGGGTAAAGGGTTTGACACTTCCATTCCACTTCTCCTGTAGGGTGTCACTCCGGGCTGGAGGAGTTTCCCCAGCAGGCTCTGGGGGTCTGGCTGGCTGCGATGAGAGGGGAAGGTAACCCTGGGCCTGAAAAATGTCCTCCTCATCTTCCTGCAGGTGGAGATCCAGAATTTTAGAGCTGCGCAACAGAAAGTCATGGCGGGTCTCCAGTTCAGTGACGCCGTTGCCGCTAAACGTCATTCCGTCATTGTCCAACTCGTTTTCCAGCTGTTGAACCCAGGTGTCTCCCCTGGGAAGCGCACTTGGTTTAGTTGGGCGGCCTTCTGGGAGTTCATTAAGAGACTTTAAATGACTCTTTTGAAGAGTTTTGGGGGTCAGACCTCTCGAGGGACCTTTGGTGACAGGAATCGGGGGCCGTTCCTTTCGGATTGGGAATCCAGCACCGCTGGCCTCCTCCGGGACCCCGGAGCCCAGCTCAGCCAGGGGATCAAGCTTATCGGTTTGGTTGAGTGTCTTTAAATTTCTCAGCAGTGCAAACATACTATCTACATCCTTCCAAAAGTTCATCCAGTCATCCACGTCAGGACTGTAGTTGTGTCTGTGTTCATACAGACTCTCGTTCACGCTGTACAAAACTGCCAGTCCTTGCCAGTCAATGACCTCTGTGAAATTGGGCAGCTTAACCTTTGTGGATGTCCCAGGCTGGCTGTGTTCTGGAAAACGGGAGAGGGGGAAGTGAGAGAAATCAGTAAGGGTTGATGATTGCCGCGCAGAAAAGCATTTGCTTTGGAATGAGTCTAAAACATGCAGTGCTTTTTTAAGCCTTAGACCAAGAGAAAAGCTCTATTCTGAAGCAGTAAAGCAGTGGGAATGCAGATCAAGGCAACTAATGTCCTCCAAAACAGACACCCAAAACCAATACATCATAAATAAAGAGTGCGCAGACAGACTTAAAATCTGTGCAATGAGGTTCAAACCAAAATGAAACATCCAACGAGAGACTGAAAAGATGGAAAATCCTGGAACCAAGAAATCAGCAACCCAAAAAAACTAAATATGAGGCTGAAAGTGTGGGTAAGAGGTAGAAAATGAAAAACTGCAATAACAAAAGCGTGTTAAAGGAGGGCGAGAGAATGAAAGGAGCATTCCCAGAGCGGGTCAGGCAGTAACTGATGGCCTAGGAGACATGGGCCGCACTGAACCAGAACTGCCACTCAACTCGGGGTCTATGGAGATGTGGTGTGCAGTTTGGAGAACTACTTGAGAGTGGAATGAGAACAGAAATGGGTTCATATGGTCTCAAAGACTCACAGGAATGAAAGGCTTGGCCTCCTCAACTTTGACCATTTTCGATGCTGCTGTTGCCTGGTAAGCAGGTAAGCCAAAAAACAGAGATGTCAAGATAGGCGTGAACGAGAAATATGTACGAAAAAGTCTGAAATATTGATGTTCTGTGGACTGAGAAGTCCCCACTAAATGATGTGTATGAATAGCCTTGGATTTTATGTAAATTATTTGAGTTTAGGAATACATAAAAACAACAAGCAATACATTAGGAGTTAAAATTAGAGGAATGATCTTGTAATTCTAAAACTTGAGGTTTTAAATACTAATATTCATGTCATTTTTAAATATACCTGAATTGTTAGCTCAACCCAGCATGCAACCACACACTTAGCTCAATGAAACATGGCGTATTAGTGGAAACAAGCTGCCCATGCAGTTATTTCGAAAGCCAATGAGGGATTCAAAAAGTGTGGATACCTGTGTTGATCATAGCTTCCTCCATCTTTACTTCCTGATCAGGAAAATAAAAGCATTTAAAATGTTAAATGTCTATTGTGATTAAAAAACAAACAAACAAAACAATCACATTGCAGTTCTTCATGCATAACCCCCAGCTCCTGAGGAGAGGTATTGTTAGATTAAAGACACAATGAAGGAATGAGGATGTGAAAGATGAGGAAAATCCTCGGATGGTCCTGAAGAAAAAGATGGTAAGTGTAGTATTAAGAATGGAATGAATGTTATACGATGACATTGTTAACAGTGTTGCATGACTTGAGGTCACAAATAACATGAGAATATGCCAACATGCAGACTAATATGTATTAACAACATGCATCTGTTTTTGTAATATTTTGTACATTACTAAGTGGCAAATCCTATTTTTATTAACTGTCTTAATTCCTCAATAATCTAGTCATGTATGGATGTGTGTGTTCACCCCAAATTTTTTTAGCCTGAGATATCATCAAACTTTACCAAATGTTGTTCCAGACCCTTTCTTTCTTCCATTGAAGACAAAAGAAGAAGTTTAACAGAATGTTCATGCTGCTCTTTTCCATTTAATGAAAGTTAATCGTAACTAAAGGCTGTAAACACACAAAAACTACAAGTGGTCCATAAGATGCTAAATTTCAAGTCATCTGAAATCATATTACAGCTTTGTGTGAGAAAAAAAAAAAGATAAATGTTTGAAGATAATCTTCACAATAATGTAATGTATGACTTCATAAGACTTGGTGCTTTTGACTTTTTATGGAAGAGAGTTTTGCTTTAATGAAAGAAAGTCAGATCTGGAATGACATAAGTATGAGTACATGCTGAATTTATTTTTGGGCAAACTATCGCTTTAAGTTTAGTTATTTATTTTATTACAAACCAAAACCATTGTTTTTGCCTCCGAAACACAGGCGCTGACCTCATTATTGATTTAGTTGTTGAAAAGCTATGACAACTTGTATAAATCAAAATATTAAATAATACAAAAACCTTTATATAACTGGTTTTTATGATGTCATTATGATGAGTCAGTCTCCTCTCAAAGAAAATTATTAACGGTTTTCAGAACAGTGAAAATCTCAATGGTCCTGGCCACAACAGGTTTTAAATTGCCAAATACCCAATGTTACAGAAACCTCTTCCTTCCCAGTAATGAACAGAAAATAATCCTGCTAGAAAGTGTTTTTTAAACCACAACTCCACTGCTAAAAAATATTTAAAAAAACACACTCAGAGATGAATGTGTCAATATACAGTATAAGTTTACAAATTTAGATTTTCAAAATTACACAAAGCACGTACAACAGCCACAAACATAAAAGAAAGCATCTCTTTCACAGGAGCCATTCATCTAGTCTGGCATTCACTAAGAATGAAAAAAAAAAAATGCAAAAGTATGAGATGATGTGATTGCTAGGCTGCTGGAATATTACAGTCCCCTGGTGAGGGAATAAAATGAAAAATATAAATGGAAAAAACGAGATGAGCAGACAGTTTAGACAGAAACCAAACTCAGTGACCAATCCATCATCCACAATTAGATATCGTGCCACATGGCATCCCATATGTGGTTCATCCCATTCATGCATCAGGCCGTGTCACAGTAATCCATGCTAGACCAAGTTTTGTTAAATATCGACTACTTTCCTCTCAACTTGGACAATGAAGTATTGGCTAAAAAAATTTAATAAGCCAGCGTGTATCACCCTTTATTAAACCATGCCATTTTTTCCATGTGAGCACTTACAGTACATACCTGCTGAAAACAAAACCTAAACCAGCCTAAGCTGGTCTGTTGGTTGGTTTTATAAGGGTTTTAGGCACTTCAGATGGTCAGGCTGGGAGACCAGTTGGAGACCAGCTAAACACCAGCTTAGCCAGACCAGTAAACCAGTTAGGCTGGTTAAATCTGGTTTTTCAGCAGAGATGCAACTGAATCTTTCAGATCTGGATGTTGAAAACATCTCAGAAGCAAAAATAAAGGAGTTCTAGCATGTTTCATCCCTCATTTCACACTGAATGGGTGCTGCAGAGACAGGACAGGAGTGTTACCTGCATCTAAGCCTTTTGGCCTCGGGTTGCACTGCTTGTGGCCCTGACAGCTCCTCATTTCCATCAGCTGTAAATGCAGTTGGCTCAAAACGTCCCTCTCCACTGTATAAACTGCGTTGGTTAACTGCAAAACATAATATGCACTTATTGAGTCAGCTATTGTAAGTGCTGTAATTATAGATAATGACTCTTCCTGTAAGAGCATGCTATTATCTTACAGTATTTTTTTTTATTATGGGCTGCTAAGGCTTTTATTTAAAAGTATACTGGAAAGAAACAAGAAAGAAGTGAGAAAGAGGGATCAAAATTGAACCTACATCCACATAGGGATGCACTACAAAACTACTGCTATACCACATCTCGGACTTAGAGCAAATTTTCCAATTAAAATACAACTGAGAACACATCCTCACCTGATATGGGTCACTGTTAAGATCAAAGTACTCCAGGAAACCAGTGGCAAATTCACAGAAGAGTGTGTTGTGAGTTTCATTTATAGTTCTCAGACACCAGTATGTGTTGTTGTTAGAGCTTGTGCAGGCACAGAAGCCACCCACTATACGGAAAGAGAGAAATTTGACAACGTATTTAACTTAAAAAAATTATAAAATCAATGCGACTAGCAAAATCAATGAACAATTCCTTACAGTTCCAGAAGGGGGCGGTCTGCCAGTGGTCATTATTATGCGTGAAGCAGGTGAGGCCAGGAAGACTGCAGTCATCACCCTTCCTTTGCCTCTTCCTCTCCTTCCTCTCTTTCTTCCTGCGGCGGATCTCGGTGTAGAGTTGAGTCTTGCTGTCCACTTCCTGCATGGCCTCTCTGGTGGCATAAATAAATGAGACATTAGAGCTAGAGCGAAAGGGAACTCCATCCCAGGTGAATTACACAATGATGGGGGAGGCAAACCAGCCAGCTCTGCACATAGATGGGGTCAGAGGTCATGAGAAAGTGGAAGGATTGGGTACACACCACCTCCCCTAAAAACCACAAGGCTCTTATCCTATTTTCAGACCAGGGTGTTTCATAATCTCACAATGTGTTTACACTTCAAAATGAGTTTTTACGTTTATGGATAGAGATGCTTATGAAAGAGCACTTAATTTAATGACCCCATCAGAACCGTGACCCATGGACTGAAAAAGTACTGATTAACTAATCGACAACATGTAGCCTACATATGAATGCATGCAACAATTCACATTTAACAGGATGAAATAAGAACTAATGGATTCAATGACACTTCAACATTTCAACCAGATTGACTGAATTAAACAATTCACAAGTCCATTCATTATTTCACATACAAAATTCTTTGATTGAGTGGCAGCATTATCAATGTGAATCGTACCACACGGTCAACAAAGTGTCTTAGAGACACTCTACATGGATTGGGACATAAATCCAACACACTTTATCTCAACAATAACTACAGACGACAGACAAACTGACGAGGCATGGACACATGTACACACACGAGAAGCACTCACTTAAAGGGATGGAGATGGTCATTCCTATTCTTCAATCTTTCGGGTTTGTTTTTCTGCTGTCTCTCTTTGCTAAAGTAGCTGGTTGTAATAAGGAGAGAACAGCACTAAATTCAATGAGTTCAGCTGGAATTTCTAAAAAAAGGCCTTGAACAAACTCAGTTTGATTTGCAAAATACTGCTGTTTAGATTTAAAATGATTAATTTATTTAATCAGGAATTCAGGATTGAGAAATTCAGTGTGTTATTCAGCACAATATCTAACCTATTATTACACTACCATTCAAAAGTTTTAATTGGTTGGTAAGATTAAAAGAAAAAGAAAAATCCTCTTATGCTCACCAAAGCTATATTTATTTGATCCAAAATACTATTTAAAGTAACTCTTTTTTCATTTGAATATATTTTAAAATGTGATTTATTCCTGTGATGACAAACCTTCAGTGTCACATGATCCTTCAGAAATCATTCTAATATGCTGATTTTGTGCTTAAACATTTCGTATGATCAATGTTGAAAACGGTTGTGTTGCTTAATATTTTGGGGGAAACTGTGATGCATTTTTTTTTTTTTATAATGTAAAATCAGTACTGTTGATCAGTTTATTGCACCGATGCTTAATAAAAGTATTTTAAAAATCTTACTGACCCCAAACTTTTGAATAGTAGTGTACATAGAGGAGTAAAATAAAACAAGAGAGATGAGCAGTGGAACGATGAACAATCATGTTTACATAGTCCGCTCAGATTTGCCTCAAACTGATCCAGTTCACATGACATGAATGGCCTAACAAAGATAAATGTCAGCTGACCTCTTCTTTCCACAGTCACACTCATCTGGTCTCCTCCTCTTTAAATGGCCTCTAACCTCACGCAGTTTCTTCATTTTATCCTGGAGAAGTTCAATCTATGGGACAAGTGTATAAAATGAGCACCATGTGGTTTAAACAATTGTAATATTAAAGATAATACAGGACAGTGGGCCTCACCTCTTGGTCCACAAAGTTCTTGTGGTCTTTCCACGCTCTGGAGGACTGGTAAATCTCTCTTTCACAGTGCACAGTGTCATTCATTAATATGAAACACCTGTGATTCCAAGGTAAAATGAGCAACAAATGAACAAAACACACTTTAAATAGTCTAAACTACAATAATATTGAACTCAGTTTATGTTTAGAGGTGACCAAAGGCTTGGAGTTCTTACTTATGTGTGACTTTAAGAGAATTGGGGTATCCCACAGCATTAGTATCATCCGACTGCATCTCCTCCGATCCGTCATCGGACTCCAACCCGAAGTCCGAATTAAAACCTCCCTCAGGCTCATGGTGCCGTTTGCTGATTTGTCGAGGCTCAAGGGGGGTTTTGTCATCAGCCTGCAGGTCCACATCGTAGATTTCACCCTCAAACTCCACTGACAGGGATCTGGCCGTCCGTGTGTGAACAAAGCGGGGTCTGAAGCCTGAGGGAAGACATCAGCGTCAGCTACACATACTTAAATATTTATATGTCATAGTTAAATATTTATATACATATTGCTAGAGCTCATTAAATTTCCTCTAATATATTTCAAAAATATGCCACTTCAGCTCATCACCAATAGATGGCACCAAAAAATATGACCGAGTTCTCTCACAATCATGGGAGTGCGAAGAACAATTAATTAGAAGTAATTAAATAACATTTTCAGCAGTATAACAGCTAGTTTCATAGCAATAGTTTTATAATGTATAATAGTAAAATGTGATAAATGATACTTTTTTATTGTCACATGGTACTGCATGTACAGCTTTACCCCCTAAAGTATGATTCATGATGATTATGATTTTTTTTTTTTAATTAAAACATTTAGTTAAATGATGCTGGCCAACACCAGGCTTTTGACTTAGCTTTATTAATAATTGTGCATGTCTAGTTTTATTAATTGCATTTATTTAGCATAAAGTTAAATTCTGTCAACTTAAATGAGGTGTTGAGGAAAAACCTTACTGTTGAGGGAAAAATAATGAAACTATCATTTAAATAATGCATGTTGTAATAAGGCAATATTAATATTTATAATGAAATATTAACATGCAGCAACAATACAGTTTCTACAAAATAAATAAATATTTATGTATTAAGCAGCACAACTGCTTTTAACACTGATAAGAATAAGAAATGTTTCTTTAGCATCAAATCAGCAAAGTATTCTGAAGGATCATGTGACACTGAAAACTGGTAATGACTGCTTAAATTACAGAAATAAATTACATTTTAAATTTTATTAAAATAGAAAAGAGTTATTTTAAATTGTAATATTATTCATAATATTAGTTTGTATTTTTCTTTTTTTTTTAAATCAAATTTAAAATCAAAGCATTTAAAACATTTAACACCAAATAAAAAAAAAAGCCCAAATTACCCTTGGTAAATAGCTCTGTATGTAGTTTTAGGGTAGCTAACTAGTTTAACTAAATTATGAGAAGTTTGTAGCTTGGGAAGACAACATTTCGATGTTCAGTACTTTAGTAGTGAAGTGTTTGATTCTTCCCAGTGACTCAAAACTTTTCAATCTCTTCACTCTATTGATTTGCTAATTGACCGTTCCTAGGCTGCATCATTAAACCAGTAGGTGGCGACAAGTGAGTGACTTTCAGTCCAAGTCTAAAAGGTCCAGTGTTTGTCTATACAGTCTTGAACAGAGTGCATATACTTACGTGGATTACTGCTCTGGGCAAACTGTCTCTGTGCCCGCCGTGCTGCCTTGGCCCCTTTGTAAGGCCGGTCTCCACAGTGGCAGTCTTTCTCGCGGCTGTCGTAGCTTCTAGAGCGCAGACTCCTCGCCCTCTTCTTGGATCCTTCCTTCAGAGAGCCCTTACACTTCTGCAAACGCCACTTCCCGCTGACCTCCTCCACACAGTGCCATTTCTGTAACAAAAAGGGAAGGAATTCAGCTTGTGGGCAGACATTTTTGTCTGGCTAACCACTTATTGTGCAAGAGCCGCCTCATTTGCATAACCACAGCTGTTTTTCTGAATGAAATTAATCCTCTGTCTGTGAACGGCGAGCTTAGCGGTCAAACATCTGCATCTGTAGAGTAATCCCATTAATTCACAATCACACGGCACAAGAGCCACCTCGCAATTCTTTCCCATAAAAAAGCAATTTAGACAATCTCCTAATTTCGCAGAGCTGTTTGTTTTGCAAACTGACCACAGCTCAGACATGTGCTCACAACTATGGGAAACCATATCCAAACAATGGCCACAACCCTGTTCTGATTTCCTGTGAAGCTCTGGAGTCCCGTCATTGAGTTTATGTATCTGCGGGTGATGCTGTATCTGTTCACAGCGAGGATGTTTGTCTGAAGGGCAGTAAACCAAAAAGGAGTTCGCCAAAGCTTGCTTGAGCACTTTCACTCATTTAGTTCCTCCAGAGAGTGTAGGCAAATGCACTAAAACACGTTGAGCATTTCTTGTACCTCACCCCCCCCCGGCGAGAGAGACTGGCTCCAAATAGCCAGAAGTCAAACAGACATAAGCAAACAGTGCCACAGCCAACTATGTGAAGCCTCACTACTTGAATGACGGACTCAGTCTCAGGAAGAAACAGGCATAAACTTTCACACAGACTCAATGAAACACACTGCCCTCATTGACCTCACTGCAGGCAGTAGGACTGTGTTAATGCAGTCTTTGCGAGGCTTTTTCAACACATTCCTACTAGTCAAAGTAAAAGAAAGAGTATATTGGAAAAACAGATACTGATACTCTATTCAAGCTAAGACTTGAGCTGGAAGTTTTGTCTGTGCTCAACAATTAAACCATGACAGTTTTCCAAAAGAGTGCATTTCACAGGAAAACGATGTCAGTAGCAAATGCTACCGTACTTATTGAAAACATCCAGTCATCGGGTCAGAAAGATTGTTTAATATTTTTGAAAGAAGTCTCTGATGCTCACCAAAGCTGCATTTACTTGATCAAAAATATAGTAAAATAGTATTAAAGTTAAATATTATTACTATTTAAAATAGCTGTTTGTTTTCAAATTGAATATATTTTAAATGTAATTTACTCCTGTTGTAGAAAAACTGAATTTTCAGCAGCCATTATTCCAGTCAGTGTCACATAATTCACACGAGATTCAGAAAATAATCCTATATATAACCATTCTATACACAATTTTTTGACCTCTGCTATACAAAATCCATCATGCATTTGGAGCACATTTAACTTAAAGGGAGAGTTCACCTGCAATACTTTATGTGCACAAAGAAAACAATGGAAGAGAAGAAATTGTTGCGTTAAGTCGTTTTCTTTGCACACAAAAAATATTCTCGTAGCTTCATAACATTAAGTTTGAACCACTGATGTCACATGGACTATTTTAACAATGTCCTTACATCCTTTCTGGGCCTTGAACGTGTCAGTTGCATTGTTGTCTATGCAGGGTCAGAAAGCTTTCAGATTTCTTCAAAAATATCTTAATTTGTGTTGCGAAGATGAACGAAGGTCTTATGGGTTTGGAACGACATGAGGGTGAGTAATTTACTGACAGAATTTTCATTTTAGGGTGAACTATCCCTTTAATGATGCATTTAAACTATAAGACAAGGGACTTTTGTTAAGAAAGCAAATGGCATCAACTGTTTTCATGTTGAATTTAACAAAGAATTCAGGTCTATTCCTAAAAATATGTTAGGACCTTTCTCTGAAACTACTTATTCAGCTTTGTTCTGGCAGGTGACTGGACTAAAGAAGACTGAAGCCCATGTGTTATTCCGACAACTTTTCTGCATTCAATCAAATTTCCAGACAAAGTGTTGCAGGCAAACACTTAACTTGACCATAAAAAGAATCTGGTTTGCATTACTGCAGTCCTTGAAATACTGTCTGCATTTACGCTACCTGAAATTGTACCAATTTGTAATGTTCAGCTCTTTCTGATTCATTGCCACACCACAGAGGGTCTGGTGGAGCAGGCACACACTGTGCTGATGAAAGAAAACGGTGACCAATCTCCAATTATACTTAATTTGGTGTAAATATCGGTTTCAATTACATTGGCACCACTCATAAGACTCCGTCTGTGAGCCGCACACTCCAATCTCCTCGTTTCGTGCAAATGAATGTATTCAATCATCATTTAAGGTTGGGACAAAGAGCATTTTTTAGTGCATAAACACCCTGGTTCAAGCCCATAGTAAGATAAACAAGGCCCAGGTTGAGACTATTTGAATGTTTCAGAGCAAACATTGTGCATATGTGTGCAAATTCATAATATATATATATAGACAGTCGGTGACAAAAAGAGTAATGCATGTGTGTGTGTGTTTTGAGTTTATACCTGTCCTGGTTGTTCGCAGGGCGTCTGATACTCTGCCTGCTGACACACCTCCTTCACCTTCTTGTATTTGGGTAAGCTGTTAGAGTGTTGTGTGTTCAAGTTGCCTCCTGACTCATCTTTCTTGCGCAGGATTTTGCTGGAATGACAAATGTGCTTTGGTGAGTTGCTAGGCCACGTTTTAAAGTTGGCAGCCTCACTGAAGTTTCGGAAGCCTGGGAAGCATAGCCGTCCCACCCAGGTCAGCATCTCATAACTAATGTGTGGAGAGCATTATAGCTTTCACAGCACACAAAAACAATGTGACCCAGATCCTCCATGATATATCTGTCCTCTGGAGATATTTGTCCTAGTTATTTAGTTGTAGTTAGTTCTATTAGATTGCATTTAAGACATTTTTTGATGTTTGTTAAAGGAATAGTTCACTCAAAAATGAAAATGTGCTCAATTTACCAGTGGCGGCTCGTCGGGGGGAGGCAGGGGAGGCACAGCTTCCCCATAATTTTGAGGTGAAAATGGGAGGAGGACGATTTAATGTTAATACAATTCACAATTCATTTCAGTTCATGTCTCAGAACGTGTATTCTTTTGTTTGTAATTTCACAGTTGTAATACCATAACGTGAAAGCGCCGCTTTTCTATCGCAAATGT